AATGATTGTGAGTTGTACAGGCGTAGAGCTTTGGAGGTAAGGTCAGCATGCCCAGAATCGGTGGTACTGGACCAGTGAGATAGCAAATCCGCAAGAGTAGCAGTAGTAGTAGTGCGCACAATAGTCAAGGTGTACTCACAGGAGGCATACTTTGCTGTGTCTTTAAGGCCATCCTATTCGTGAAGCAATCGGGGCAGGGGATGGATCTTATCAAACATCCAACTGCTCGTGTTGCATATCCCCTTCCCATGATGCTACTTCAGCCCCTTGGAAGCCAACCTTTGTCCGGACAGGGAATTGTCATGTTTGGTGGGAGTGGTCTGGAATCATTGGGGAAAATATGGGGGAAGATGCTCACTTGACTTGTTGCATTGTGGTTGGCTCGCTTGGTTCAAGTCAAATACGGACGCATCAGGCACAAACGGTACTCACGGTAATCACTTAAAGCCGACAACAAAACAGACGGCAACGCCTCAGCGGCCTCAGCGTTTCAGAAGACAAGCGCTGAACTTAGCCATTGAAGGAGCAGACCTCACCTCCCCCGACGCGTATCCCCCTAACACAAAACTCTTCAGCCCACACCCAGCCAAGCAAAGCAATTTTATCCGGCAGTGTGCAGTGATACGCAGAAGCTTGGTGGCCGAATGGCTTCCACCACGGCTGCTCCCATGAAGCCTGGTCCTCAGATTGCTGGGCACCTCTTCCCATGGACGCGAGAATCCGCTTTCTCGGGGAGGATGTTTGGCGGCTTTCCTGTACTAACAAAGGATCATGGTACCTTGTTCCTGGCAGCGGACACTTACTTTTAGACCTGCCCAAGTAGCATGACGGGCCCTGAAGAAGTCATGGCTATTAGCTCATATATCAGCACAGTTCGGTTGTTTGGATACTAGCGAATGAACCTTTCAATCTAAATCCCAGGCTTCCGAGAAACCTGATTCCGAGGCTTGAAGATGATGACGATGTCTTCTCGCCAGACGCCATGCTGGAGGCGAAGAAGCCGCGGGTATACATCGATATTATCCTAATCACGGCTACCTCTCCTGCTAATCCCTAGGCATTCCCTTCACAATCCTTAGGTCAACCGGTCACCCAGCCCAACGCTGTGATTCCCATGCAAGCTGCCAAACCACAATCCCGCAGCTAAAGTCTTCAAAGACAGAATGCCGCATGCGCCAAACCTTCAGAACTTCCGCCACAGTCCCTGCACGTCCCGTTAAACTCCCCGCATCTTGGTACGTACGGATACCCTCATTTTGGTTTGAGCGCAGGTTTTGCAAAGTTACCTGAAATCCCCGTACACTCCCCATGTATCGCAAGGTCACCCAAAATGGCATCCTTGTTTTCAGCCATCCCCAATAGGGGTTTCCAGAAATAGGGGACTCCCCCTGAGTTTTAAATACAGGCCTGAGTATAATTTGTAGAGAGTACCCAAATTCAAGAGGGGCCCCCAATTCTTGGAAAGCCCCGAATCGACCGTAAACCCAAAACCCTACACCCTAAACCCCAAACCAAGAACTCTACACCCTAAACCCTGAACTCTGAACTCTATACCCTAAACCCTAAACCCTGAACTCTATACCCTAAAGCCTGAACTCCTACACCCTAAACTCTAAACGCTAAACCCTGAAGGAGGAGGCCTTGGACCTCGACAGCCTGGCTGCCGCGCATGACCGTGCGAGGCCACCGAGCGAGGAGGCTGAAGATGAAGGCCCGGCTGATCTCATCTGAGCTAAAGGGGGTTGTATAGGGAATTATACAGGGGATATATTGGGATAATGGAAAAGAAAATGGAAACTACTATTTAGGGTTTAGGGTTTAGGGTCTAAACTCCTTAAAGGGTTAAATTACCCCCCAATAATGGAGAATCAAATGGAAAAGAACATGGAAAATGAAATGGAAACTGGGATTATAGGGTAGTTTATAGGGGATCTAAACTCCTTAAAGCGGGGTTGTATTGTAGTAGTATATTGGGGTTATATTGGG